CGGCGTGGCTAAATCTTCCATCTAGTCAAGGGTCAACTCGACGGCGCAGTCTCGAAAATCTGTGAGATCTAATTAGTTTTCACGTGTTCCTTTATCTATTAATATTTGCATGTTGTCTGATTTAATTTTCATGGGATTATTTTATTAATTGGATGTCAAGGGCCCGATGTTCAATGTGATTTACTAATCTCGTGCCAATTTAGTCAATTGAATCCGTAATTGTTTGATTGATTAATATTAGTGGCAACTGGTGTGTTTACACATTAGGGGAACGTGCAATCTAATTTAAATAACCCTCGAGCGTGTTATTGATTAGGGCTAGGTTTTTCTGGTTATTAATGCAATTAGAAAGTTAATTCCTACGGTCGTACCTAGGAGTACTTTTCTGGTTAGGGGTGATTAATGGTCGTACCTTGGTCATCTATAAATTAAGGAAAAATTGGTCATTAGAGTTCATCGATGACTATAACTAACCTATTAATAAATTAAGTGAACCTCTCTTGCATCAATGATCGGATAAATGGACTGCGCCTGAGTAGTTGTATCCTTGGCTAGAATTTATTTATTCTTGATTAAATTCCTGCTATATTTGTGCTAGTTAATTATTTATTTATTTCTGTTGAATTATACAATTGATTTTAGTTTCATTCTGGTGAAATCCCCCCTTACCAATTGACATTTAAAAAGAGACAAATATTCCCAGTCCCTGAGGAGACGACCCTACTTGCCACTGTCTACTATTCAGTAACTTTCGTCGACTAATTAATTCTGGTATATCGGGTTAAGCAAACTCTTCGGGAACAGGGTGAATCAAGTAACCCATTGCACACCTAAAGTCCCTGCTCCAGTACCTAGGATTGATTATTGACTGCTTTTAGTGGTAGTTAGGATTTTATTATTATTATTGCACAGGCTGACGACCTGTCACTGTAGTATAATTGGACATTTATTTGAGACTTGGAAATTGATCCAAGTTTACTTTCTTGAGTAGCTCCTTGACCTTGAAACTATAAGTTTCAAACTATAACTTCATTTGGTTATTTTAACCTATATAGTAAAAGATACAAGATAGATACAGAATCTTGGATAGATCCATGAATAAGTATAACGGTTTATGCACAATTGAGATGTATTTTTATAGTATCAATTTGGTTGTCAGTTAGTAGGATGATGATGGTAAACATATCAGCACTATCATTTGTTCAATAGCTCGGCAAGAGAAAGAAAAATGTTCAAATTGGAAAATTTTGGAATATTGCCTTGCTTCACTTAAAATGTTCACACTTGCAAATTGCAACATTCATTGAGGACATCGATAAAATGAGAGAGGCTATTTGAATAATGCACATTTTCTTTCATTCATAAATGGCAAAATGTAGATAGTCATCATAGACTATTAAACTTTGCAGTGAAACTCGTAAAAGGTAAATTAGTAAGGATGATGTTATTTACATCCTTGTTATGTTATTTGTATTCCCACTATCCATTTTCATTTTGATGAGACCATTATTCATATCATGATTTCTTCTCCTTGTTTATAAGCTAACTTTATTAGATTTCATCGTCCAATTAGAATAGGAAAAGAAATTAGAGCAAGATAATATGGCCTCATCAAATTGAAAATGAGATATTCATAGTGTAAATAACATAATCGAAGGGTAAATAACATCATAATAAGTAATTGGGAGTCTAAGTAGTAACTCCCCTCCCGGCTGAATGAGGCGTATATGAGGGCTACTATGTGAATTCTTATATGATCAAGTTTTAAATTTAATATGTTGCCGTTTGAAATTTGAACAAAAAAAAAAAAAAACACTCTCCTTAGTGTTGGTCCATTAATTTTAGGGTTAATTACATTTACTTCCCTTGTGGCTTAACCAAAATACAAAACAAACCTTGAAGTTTGGTAAAATAACATCTAGCCCGCATCACCAAACTCAATGGATGGAAGGAATAAAATGACAAAAATACCATCTACTAGAAATATAAAATAAAAGCAAGACTCTAGGCAAAAATGCTTAAGCATAACATAAAAATGGTTCTAATTGATAAATAAAAATATTTTTCTTTGTCAAAGTGCATGAAACCAGAAAGACAAGATCCAAAATGTTCCATATAAAAAGAAAATAACAATAAGAGCACTAAAAAAAAATGAATATCCTCAAAAAAAAAAAACAGAGATGTTCAAAGAAGAGGCCACACCATTGTCTTCAGATTGTCACCAGCTATCAACCAAGAGCAATAACCACCTTCCATTCTTTGTAATATTTCTCAAACCCATATTTTGTCAATTTCTAAATTTTTACCTTTTTTCCAACTTTTGTAAATCCACTTGATGCACCGCCACATCCACTATCTTTTCTCCACACTCTAATTTTTTTTCTTTGTTTAACTAATACTCAATCTTCCTATGGAGTCGCAAGCTCAACCAACTCATGAGAGAAATTGGAAACAAATCCATGCCTTATCAAACCCATTGACAAACGGGCACATATTCACACATTGGTTATTGAAATTCTACAGATTTGACATGCCATGACTGGGTTAATCACATTGATGCTCACAATTTAGTAGCAAGATCTAGCTCATTTGAATTTTATTTTGTTCCCTGTTTTTTGGGATCTAAGGCTATAAGTTGACTTTGAGCTTCCATGGAAATTGGAAGTAATTCATTGATGGGTAGTAAAATACAATTGAGACTAGAAAATTCTTATAGAATTGTAATAAATTGGGGGTTGCATGTGAAAAGAAAGAACATGGAAGCAAAAATAAAGTCAGCGGTGTTGCAAGTGTTTTGCTTTGGAGAAGGGAGGAGGAGATTGGTAGAAAGGTTAGAGGTAAAGGGTTTATTGGGCATTTAGGTTCTCATTTTTTGTTGACAGCGTTGGAATGAGGTAGTCAACGTTTGTTGACTAACGAGAGGGATTCTTTTGTTATGACTTCATGGTTTTCAAGGGTTGTTTTGTTATTTGGCCAAATTTTAAGGTTTGATTCGTAATTTGGCTAAACCTCAAGGGAGCTAAATGTAATTAGCCCTTAACTTGATGGTTATATTTTGTCAAATTACAATCACATGGTTGACCTGTAATTGATATTTCGGCTATTGGACTCAAGAAGAAAGAAGCAAAGAAGAGAAAGGCAGCAAAAAAAAAAAACATGTAGAAGATGGACGGAGTCTCTTGAATTCTCTGGAGAATGGAGAACAGTAAAGATTCATAAAAAAGAGAAAAAGAAATTGAAGGCAGCCATTGTTAATCGCAATCGGCATTAACTTTCCAGCACATTCTTCAAGGCAATGGCATACTTTGCTCTTATTTTTCTAGATGAATTAGGCAGTTGTTAGCATACTTTATTGCTAGAGTTTAAGATTTGTGGAGTTTATATCGGAAAACTAATGGCCAAAATTAACTAACCAGAATTAGGAAATTAAGTGGACTTCAGATTATTATCGTGAATACAAATTACACTGATTTCACAAATACAGTGTTCTTTCTCTCTCTCTTTTTTTCCTCTGTAATCGAATTCCTCTCTTTCTCTTTGTTATTTAAACCTTTGCAATATGCTATGCATTGGTATAAAGTGGTTTCTTCCCTCCTGAAAAAACCGTAAGAATGTCCAAAAAAATAGAATCCCAAAACCTTGGAACTTTAGCCTTCAAGAAACCACACCACTCTGGTGATGATGCCACAGTCATCACAACTCAACGTACTCTGAAAGGCACGAAACAGAAGCATTCTACTTCTCAACATGACCCTGATTACGAGCCGGAAGACGGGTCGAAAATGTCCAAGAAAAAAAAGACTACCACAAAAAACCAAATTTCTGAACATGAGGCTAAAGTTTTTGAGCTTTCCAAACAAGTTTGGGGTGATGGTGGAGTGCATGCTGCCCATGAAGGGGATGGTCATGAAGATACAAACGAAGACGCAGAGGAAGAAGATGTGTATGGTAAGTATCCCTATCTCTGCGGGGCATTAGAATCTTTTGAGTCTCCTTTTCCGGTGGAGGAGGCAATAAGATTCATAGACAGTGCAAAGAGAAAGGAAGTGGAAATGAAATGGAAGCTGTTACATCTTAAGGAGGAAAAGCTCCTTAGGAAGAAGTCGAGGTTGAACTCCATGTTCACTGAGATAGCTTTGCATGATTCAGAGAATGATTAGCAAACTTTTGTACTTTAATTCTAGAAACTACTGTGTTGGATGTTAGTTTTTAATGGTCATGTTATGTGGAAAACTTAAGTTGTTTTATTATGCCTAATCTCTGTTGAATATTGCCTCATTCCCCCAGTATCTCTAATAAAGATATTATTAAGCGAAATCTACTGAATTTTGAATAGCTTAATGTTAACCAGTTTTCCTTATGTTAGCTTCCGTTACAGTTAATTTTACAGGAAAGTACTTTTGACAACTGACTTTGGGTTTTCACAATTTATAGCTGGGAACTTTTTATTTGGGCTGTTTAATAAAGGAATTGATATTGGCATACATCGTCTATAATTTTTTTTTTTAAAAGCAGATTTATATAGAAAAGATGCATCATTTTCTTTTTGGTCATATGAAATTATTAGTGAATGTTGACCATCCTAAGGGACTAAATTTAAACAGTAAATTGTGTACGGTTCACACAGGTTTAACCACAAACTACATGTCATTGTAAAAGAAAAATTTTCAATTAATCAAAATTCACCTAAAATAGAGAGAAGAATGAGAAAAGGGAAAAAAATTATAACAACGCTTCACACAGGAAGAAATTTTCGTTTCAATTCAGCCAATAGAAGTAGTACTTCAATCCCAAGGAGTCTATCCCAAATCACCCTGGCACTTCTTTGGGAGGGAAGCAAAAAGTCACTTCACTAGTTTTTGTTTTTGGTGGTTGCGAAGTCCAATTAAAGCAAAATACCATGCAATGAGGCAAAGTGCAACAAAAGAGTATTTCCGAAAATATTCTTTGTATCTACATCTCTTAGGAGAGTAGATAAGCGCATAGAAACGTCCTTCATATTAAGATGCACCCTTCAACAGCTCATGCCCATTCTTCCTTGCAGATCCTGAAATGTAAGACCATTCAAGTCAATTTGTATGTACTACAAAATGAATGTTGAAATTACTCATCTAATTTTGCACAAATATTCGCCTAATAACTTGTTGTATTTTTCTAACAAAACTTAATTTAAAGAAACACAAATTTTGAAATGAAAAAAAAAAAATCTTAACATGTTGGAAGCCCTCTTGATTTGAATGTGGAATAAATCTCCAAAACGCGCAAGCAAGGTGAACCGGCAAATCTCTCCTTTCTCCAATTTGTATGCTTTGCGAAATTCAGTCCATCCTTTTCCAATTTCACTCCTCTCATTGATCTTTACCGGCCACTCCCTCTGGTCTTCGCCGCGAAGGACCACCTCTTTCTCCATCGCTAGTTTTGTTGCCCTGGAAAAGGGTCTTGGAATATTCTGAAAATAAGATCACCAAGCAAATTAATTAAATTGAAGAAAACATCTACATTTACAATTTATTTCCGAAATCTACTAAAAAAAATGATGTGATAACCCTCCTTTTCTTGTTATTCTCTAATTTTCCTTCAAAAATGCATAACAAAGAAATAGTGAATCATATTCTTGTTAAAGGCATCCGCCAATTCTTCTTCCCTTTTTCCTTTAAGGCGACTCCATAGTTTCTTATTTCCTTTTCTGGTTGTGTGCATGGATATCTAGAAGTGGTACAAAACCAACTACTACTGTTCTAAACAAATATATCGATATTTATACTGTACTATATAATTTGATTTCACCAGCTTTCTTGAACTTTGTGGGTATTGATTTTCCATGCTAATAAATCCTTATAGTTGTGAAGAAGCCAAAACAAAATAAACAGAAAAAAGAAAAACGAAAAAAGAGAGAGCACATGCAATTTTGACACTACGGGGAAAAAAAATTTGTTGCTTACTCACCAATCTGCCCATATGATGCTGCTTCAGTCTGAAAATAAAATAGGGATTCTCCGCATTTAAATCAAAATAACCATCCATCTCGTTTGCTTCTACTTCTTCTCCGTCTTCACTTTCAATTTCAAGAACTCGCTTCCCAACACCTTTCCAATTATTTGCATAAGAAAAATGAGACGTGATAAAAATTATCTAACATAATCTACCTTACACAGATCAAGAGAGATTATAGTTACTTAATCCATCTCACCTGACTTTCTGGTTTTCTTCAACTTCCTGAATTTATTAGAACGAAAATTATCACGGTCAATCTGATATTTAGTGTAAACCTTTTTTCTAGCAGGATGAACTTTTGATGGCCCTATTCCATCATCTCCGTAAAATTCAGTTTCATCACTGTCATCATCAGAGCCATCATCAGATTCATCATCACTGGAGCTACTGAATGATTTGTGTACATTAAACTTTTTTGGGCAACAATCGGCACCATATGGCTTTACTTTAAATGTTGTTTTATCTATCAGATGAAATAACAGGTAATCTCCAAGCTTCAAATGATGATCTTTAACAAATTTTGGCCACGAAAGTTTGCAAATATAATAGTAGCGACCTTTCTTTCGAATTCTTACTGGCCATGAATTTCGAACTGAGTTCTTTGCCTCGGATTCGATTGTGCATCTTGAGAAAAGCTTTTCCTTGAAATTCCTCACAAAAGCGTAGGGAATCCGCTACAAAAATGTCAAGAAAAAAAACAATAAATATAAAACTTAATCATGACAATAACTGAAGAAGATTAATGGAAAATGCATACAGTAGCAATTGATATGGGACTTACAATTTCTCTCGTGAAATCATCTTCCATCAACAGCTTTATAAAGGACGGATTAAAGTTTAAATTTTGTTCCATTTTGGAATTTGGCTTGCAGAGGAAAACAAGAACGATGAGCCCTTTTTGGTTGAGGAAAGAAAAAAAGAGAAGTAAATATAGACTTTAAGGTTGGTGCCAGTTCAAATTACACGGCTTTTCGTTTGCCTTCTGTTCGTATTTTGTACATACATTAAATTCTGTAGACTTTTAGACTACCGGACACTCTTTTTATACTCATCATGTTAATCACGATTCATGAGTAACATCTTTATTACTTCCATATTAAATTAACTCCATTTAGTACAAAGGGGGTTTGGGAATATATGTATACAATCGGACTCATTGGCCTTAGTTCGAATTATTCATCGTCAAATTCAGTGTCCATGGCAGATTACAAGGGAGGTCAGGCAGATTCGGCATTTGTTGGAGTACCCGACTTGTTTATCACATTGTTATCGGGAGGCTAACACAGTTGCTGATGCGTTGTCCAATGAGGGGTATCTCATCTACATCAACATGTCAGGATGTATGACACATTTTCTACATTCCCAAGACTGGCCCGTGGGGCAATACGTCTAGACAGAATAGGAATGCCTTCATTTCGCAAAATTAAACATATGTAGAAGGAAATTTCTGTATGTTGTTTATCATTATATGAATAAAATAAAAAACTAGTTTAAAAAAAAAAATAACTCCATTTAGTACATTGAATAGTGTAGTGAAAAAGATGTTATTAATAGTTAAGTGCCCATCTAGATATATGCACCTTTTTCTGTTTTATTCCATTTATTTGTTAACCTTAGGTTGTGGCTGGGGAGAGGAGGTGAGTAGAAAACACAACTAATTCCAGCAGCTGGACCTATAAAATGTTAAATGGCTTTACGGATGAATTATATATGTTCAATTGCCTACTCCAACTTGGTAATTCGATGTGGAAAGAGTCGCAACAACAGCTCAAGCTTCCACTTTGACCAACGCACTTAATCCCACATTTTTAAAGAACCCAATTAATGAAGTTCTGAAATAAATTTTAAACATCTTAACCAAAATTTTAATATAGTTGCTTCTGCGCATGGTTGTTCTCCATTAATGGAGGACTAACCTCCTACTGCTAGTCAAGGGGACAACTGAAGATTTGGTTCAACAATTTCTGTGAGATCTAATTTATTTTAATTGCTTCCTCCATTTATTGGTATTCATATGTTTCCTGCTTTTAACCGTTATAGCTCGTGTGGATGATTGATTAGTGCGCAATAATTAATTATTCATATAGGCTATTTTGCTAAATAGGGGTAATTGAATCCGTAATTGTTCGTTATCTCTATCTCAGTAGCAACTGGCGTAATTGGGTTTATGTCAGGGGAACATACGATCTAACTTAAACAAATCCTCGTAGCGTGTTTGTTAGTTAGGATTGGGTCTTTCTAATTAGTAATGCAATCTAAAAATTAAATCCTACAGTCGTACCTATGGTTGTTTTTGGATTAGAGAAATAGCTAACGGTCGTATCTTAGCTATCGATAAATTAAGGAAGGGTTGGTTGTTTATCGCGTGCATGACAACTATAACTAATCTATTAATAAATGTCGGAATTATCTATGAGTCAATGATCAGTGCATGAACCATTTCTGAAGTGTACCCTTGGCTAGAACTCTCCTAATTATTATTTTTTAATTAATTATTTTCTGCAGTTAAATTGTTTAGTTAGCATTTAATCCTAAAACCCCCTATACTTTGAACTCTAGAAGAAACGAATTATCCCCAATCCCTGTGGATTCGACCCTACTCACCGCTATATACAAAATCTGTATTTTTCTTGAGTAGGTATTTATTATTGCACAGGCTCGACACCTGTCATGATACATAAATAGCTTTTGTACTATTGACGTGGTGTTTTAATGTAATTAATTATTTTTCTTATGAAGATTAAATGTTGAATAAGAAGAATAAGAAGGGGAAAAAGGATGAATCTAGAAGTGGAATAACGAGTAAGAAGAAATGGAGAAAGATGTGAGGCGAAAATATTTACTTAATCTTTAAGTAGTTTAGTAATTATGTTAAGGTTTAAAGGATTTTTTGCATATAACAAAAATAGGCCATAATCTGAATCTTGAAGCAATTAAGAATTAAGATATGCTTTTTAACTTTTGGGGCTTAAAACATCTAAAACCAGGTTTCAAAATGAGCTGTCACAAATCCAAAATTTAAATCAGATTTAAAAGTTCAGTTGAGAACATGCCCTTCACGTTTTTTATGTTGTTTTATTTATTTGCGCTATGCTGTTTTTGTTAAATTGCAAAGTTATTTCGTTAGATAACATAATCTTGCACGAGAAATCCATGTTAAGCTGAATAATGAGTTAATTAATGGATTAGTTCAACTAGTGGTGACATTTTTTTTGGCGTGAAACTTAAGGATAGCCACTCACTTCCCAAATCAATAAATGATTCAAAGTTTTTTATAAAACACGATACACAAGTAATTTTTTTAAAAAATAATACACAAGTAATCTGACCAAATTATAGACGAAAATCAACAATTAGGTTTGATTTTACATGTTGGATGTTTCTAAAGATCACTAACAAATTTGAATTATCGGATAAAATTTTGCAAATAATAAAAACAAATTCTCACTATAGTTTAGTAGTTTGGAATCACAATGGCAATCAAATAAATAGCAACTTAAAATATCACTATTCATTCCTTCAACTTGTTAATCTCGAATTTGAATTGAAACTTATGTATCACTTGACAAAAACTCGGCCCCTATGATTTTTCCATTTGACAAATGTCAGATTTACCTAGTTCTAATAAATTGATTGACAAGAATAAAAAATAGAGCATACTACTCATTTGACTTGCAAATAGATAATTATTCTGTTTTAGTAGCCAGTTATGACAACTTTGCAACGAGTCTTCTAAAAGAACACTCAGCAAATTAAAAAAATTTAAATAAATCTTTAGCAAATCGCACAATGAACTATTCTTTTGGCTCTTCTATATATGATACCAAATGAATCTTCAATTAACTCTCCCAGAATAAATTAGGAAATTCTATGTAAGAGTCATAGCATTTTGTAATTCGATGGTAAAACCCTTTTGATTCTTTACCAACCAATAATGTAGGATCATTAACATGGTTAGAGCAAAGTGTTTGAAGTTTAGATGCAACGTATGATATATAGTCTTTATGCTACTATGTTAATATAAAGATAGTTTAAAATAAATATTTTATTGATAAAGGACACTTCTATTCATATAAAACGCTTATTGTAAAAATGAGTCATCACACACCAGCCATGAGCTTGGGGGAATTGGTATATGAATATAATTCTGACAACAGAAGGTAAATTGTTTATTACTTTCCCGTGGTTTTATAGAATGCTGGATGACCCCTAAATTTTTAAAATAGTCACATACTCCCCTGTGAATTATGTAAAGTGGAAAATGGATGAAATGCACAATCAGTTATGATATTTATACCAAATGCACTTTAAAAGCGCATGTGGTAAAATATTAATATTCATTTGATCTCATTATAATTTGTATAAATATCCACTTTATCCTCCTGTGATTTTTGCATTTATCCACTTAATCTCTCTATGTTTTCATATAAGGTGGTTAAGCCATCGATTAATTTAGCATTTAAGTAAGAACACTATTAGTATTTCAACTAACACTGTTACATAGTTATTTTCCGTCAAGTTTCCATTTTACATAAAAATATAAGGGGTGAAGTAGATATTTTGAAATGTTATGAGAGTCATGTGACAATAAATGAAACTATAGGAAAGTTACATGTAATTTACCAAAAAAAAAAAAAAGAGTCTTAGAAAGATACTTTTTGTATAGAGAATGCTTGGTTCATTACTCGTATAATGACTTTTACAATAAAGTATATATCTACAACTAGAGTAAATAGACACAAGAGACCAAATTAGTATCATGACTTTGACAATAAAATATATATATATATATATATCTGCAACTAGAATAAATAGACATAGGAGACCAAATTAGAGTAAATAGACGCCCAACAACCTTTAATGTTGGGTTTAACAAACTGAGAAATGAATTTCACTACTTCCATAAATTCAAAGGCTTAGTCAAATATGTGCACATATTGGGATTTGATCATTAACATCTTCCCAATGGACAAAATAAATGAGTTGGAGAGACTAGTTCAGGCATCGGTACCAACATAGATTTTAAATTTCCATCTCTTTATCTTCTTCTTCTTATTGACGAGTAAAATAATTTTGAAAACAAAAAAAAAATCTTCTTATTGACAATTATAAAAGAGACTCACAGCATTTTATAAATTCTATTGCCTAAATAAAGTCCTTTTCCAGTAATAGTCCGATACTAATTCAGCAAAGGTATGCAAATTTATTTCCATTCATATATTGTTCTTCCCTTTCCGTTTATCAGTACTTCTATTGTTAGTTTTACCTCCCGACTATCTAGGTAAAAGAACTGGTACTGTTTTTTGAAGAAGAGGATGAAATGGAAAGGGCCTACTGTACTGCTAATTCTGATTTGTAACTTATAATATGAAAACTTGGAGGATTATTTTTATTATTTTTTTGTCCTATTGCATACTTTTTTATCAGTATAAAATTGCAATCTGAAGTCAACTTTTACGTTGCAAAATCACAGTCCATTGGAAGATATTTACTTAAAAGATAATTCTACGGTTGGTATCATTGATTGTAAGAAAATATATGAATTCATATGTGCATAGACGTCTATACGAATCACGTGAGGCCTCCATTTCATTACTTAAAGAAAATGTTTTGAGACCTCCATTCATTGCAGATTAAGTGCTATTTGTTTTTGATATTTTGCAGATCATGGGGATCATTCATGAAGCCAAATTGCAAGAATCGTCTCACGAAGATGATACAAACTGCGGCAAGCCATTGGACAGAAAATTGTCCAACTCTTCTATGAATGTCCCTGTAACTGAAGAAGATGTGAAAGATGCTGAATGCTTCAGCAAATTGGACTCCTCAAACAATGTGGTTTCAAGAGGTAAA